GAAAATCGTTATGGAAAGAGCACGGCACTAGATTCTAAGCCAGTTGTCGTACAGTATCCATACAAGGAACCAGGGCCACCAGGGACACCGTTTGTCACGACAGCCACCAAAGACCACATGATCGTACAGTGGCATGAACCCGTTAATGATGGAGGAAGCAGAGTTCTTGGATATCACCTAGAACGTAAAGACAAAAACAGCATTCTTTGGACGAAGGTGAATAAGACCCTCATTCAGGATACAAAATGCAAAACAGAGGGCCTTGAAGAAGGTCTTGAATATGAATTCAGAGTTTCTGCTGAAAACATTGTTGGCATTGGCAAGTTTAGCAAGACTTCTGAACTGTATTTTGCTCGAGATGCTTGTGACCCACCAGGCCGTCCAGATGCCATCGTTATCACTAGAAATTATATCACACTAAAATGGAAAAAACCAGAGTACGATGGTGGCAGCAAAATAACTGGGTATATTGTTGAAAAGAGAGAATTGCCTGAAGGTCGTTGGATGAAAGCCAGTTTTACGAATGTACTAGAAACCGAGTTTACAGTAACCGGTCTTGTGGAAGACCAAAGATATGAATTCAGAGTAATTGCAAGGAACGCTGCTGGTTGCATAAGTGAACCATCTGAAAGCACAGGACCAATTATTGCTAGAGATGAAATTGAAGCACCAAGAGCATCACTGGATCCAAAATACAAAGATGTCATTGTTGTTCATGCTGGAGAAACATTTGTCCTTGAAGCTGACATTCATGGCAAACCTGTACCTGACATTGTATGGTCAAAAGATGGAAAAGAATTTGAAGGGCCAACTGCAAGAACAGAAATAAAGTCCACCATTCAGAGAACAACTCTCACAGTCAAGGATTGCATCAGAGTAGATGGAGGCCTTTACATGCTTAAGCTGAGCAATGTCGGTGGCACGAAGTCTATACCAATCACCGTAAAAGTGCTTGACAGACCTGGACCTCCGGAAGGTCCTTTGAAAGTTACAGGTGTGACTGCAGAGAAATGTTACCTGGCATGGGGCCCACCTTTACACGATGGTGGTGCTAGCATTTCACATTATGTCATAGAAAAGAGAGAGACAAGCCGCCTTTCGTGGACTCAAGTGGCATCTGATGTGCAAGCTCTGAACCACAAAGTAACTAGACTTCTCCCAGGCAATGAGTACATTTTCCGTGTAATGGCCGTCAACAAGTATGGAACTGGTGAACCGCTGGAATCTGAGCCTGTACTGGCACAGAATCCATACAGACCCCCAGGACCTCCTTCAATACCTGAAGTTTCTGCAATCACAAAAGATTCCATGATTGTAACCTGGGGACGTCCAGCTGATAACGGTGGAGCTGAAATTGAAGGTTACATACTAGAAAAGAGAGACAAAGATGGTGTCCGATGGGTCAAATGCAATAAAAAGAGACTGACAGACTTACGATACAGAGTAACTGGACTTACTGATGGGCATTTCTATGAGTTTAGGGTTTCTGCTGAAAATGCTGCTGGGGTTGGTGAACCTAGTGAACCATCAGTCTTCTACCGGGCGTGTGATGCAGTGTATCCTCCGGGACCTCCAAGCAATCCAAAGGTGACAGATACCTCCAGATCTTCTGTGTCACTTGCATGGAACAAGCCCATTTATGATGGAGGTGCTCCTGTTTTAGGATACATTGTTGAATTTAAAGAAGCCACTGCTGATGAGTGGACAACCTGCACACCGCCTTCTGGATTACAAGGAAAACTATTCACAGTAACAAATCTCAAAGAGAATAGTGAATATAACTTCCGCATCTGTGCTATCAACATTGAAGGAGTTGGAGAACCAGCGACCATACCCGGTAGTGTTGCTGCTGCTGATAAAATTGAACCTCCCGAAATTGAACTTGATGCAGATCTCAGAAAAGTTGTCACAGTACGTGCTAGCGGCACCTTGCGGTTGTTTGTCACTATCAAAGGCAGACCAGAGCCAGAAGTAAAATGGGAAAAAGCAGAAGGCCGGCTGAGTGACAGAGCTCAGATTGAGGTTACCAGTTCATATACGATGTTGGTTATTGATAATGTCAACAGATTCGACAGCGGCAAGTATATCCTGACTTTAGAAAACAATAGTGGCAAGAAATCTGCTTTTGTTAATGTGAGAGTGCTCGACACACCAAGTGCACCTGTCAATCTGGTCGTCAGAGAAGTGAAGAAAGATTTGGTGACATTAGCTTGGGAGGCTCCACTTATTGATGGCGGATCTAAAATTACAAATTACATCGTTGAAAAACGAGAAACAACCAGAAAAGCGTACGCCACAATTACGAACAATTGCACTAAGAATGTATTCAGAATTGAACAGCTTCAGGAGGGATGCAGTTACTATTTCCGAGTCTTGGCTGCAAATGAATATGGAGTTGGCTTGCCAGCAGAAACATCGGAACCAGTGAAGGTTTCTGAACCACCCTATCCACCTGGAAAAGTAACTCTTGTCGATGTTACACGCAACAGTGCTACCATACAGTGGGAGAAACCAGAGAGTGATGGTGGTAGTAAAATAACTGGCTATGTAGTAGAAATGCAAACTAAAGGAAGTGAAAAGTGGAGCACCTGCACACAAGTTAAAACATTAGAGGCAAAAATATCAGGATTAACTATGGGAGAAGAATATACATTCCGAGTCCGTGCTGTTAATGAGAAAGGGAAAAGTGATCCAAGACAGCTTGGAGTTCCTGTTGTTGCCAAGGATATTGAAATCCAGCCTTCAGTTGAGCTCCTTTTCAATACTTTCAGTGTGAAAGCTGGTGAAGACCTTAAGATAGATGTGCCCATCAGAGGAAGGCCGATTCCATCAGTTAGCTGGAAGAAAGATGGGCTGCCTTTAAGAGAGACAACTAGGGTAAATGTCCACACATCACAAACGTCAACTTTACTAACCATCAAGGAAGCTTCAAGAGAAGATGTAGGAAGTTACGAATTAAGTGCTTCAAGCAGTGCTGGCTCTACAACAGCTTCCATCACTGTAATTGTACTTGACAAGCCTGGACCTCCAACTGCATTACATATTGATAATGTCAGTAATGATAACATAACAATATCTTGGAAACCTCCTGAGTATGATGGTGGCTGTCAAATTAATAATTATATTGTGGAGAAGAGAGAAACAACTACAACCACATGGAGTATAGTGTCCGCCACCGTTGCACGAACTTCAATTAAAATAATGCGCTTAATCACAGGATCTGAGTATCAATTCCGTGTTTCTGCAGAAAATCGCTATGGAAAGAGTGCCTACATTGAAACGGCCCCTGTTGTTGCAGAGTATCCATTTAGTCCTCCTGGTCCACCTAGCACTCCCAAAGTTGTACATGCAACAAAAGCATTCATGATTGTAAGCTGGCAAGAACCAGTTAACGATGGAGGAAGCAGAGTACTTGGCTACCATCTTGAGCATAAAGAACGAAGCAGCATCCTTTGGACTAAAGTAAATAAAACTCTTATAAGTGACACACAGATGAAGGTAACAGGCCTTGATGAAGGACTAATGTATGAATATCGTGTCTATGCTGAAAATATTGTAGGAATAGGTAAATGTAGCAAGTCTTGTGAGCCTGTTGCTGCAAGAGACCCATGTGATCCTCCTGGTCAGCCAGAAGTAACTAATATTACAAGGACATGTGTCTCACTTTCATGGGCCAAACCAGAATACGATGGTGGTGCTAAGATAACAGGCTACATTATTGAACGGAAAGAGCTACCAGATGGTCGCTGGCTGAAATGCAACTTCACCAATGTACAAGAAACCTTCTTTGATGTCACAGGGCTTACTGAAGACCAGCGGTATGAATTCCGCGTTATTGCAAGAAATGCTGCTGGACTGTTTAGTGAGCCATCTGAATCGACTGGGCCAGTGACTGTAAAGGATGATGTTGAAGCTCCAAGAATTATGATGGACATCAAATTCAGGGATGTTGTTGTTGTTAAAGCTGGGGAGATCTTGAAAATCAATGCTGATATTGCAGGACGACCCTTGCCAGTAGTTTCATGGGCAAAGGATGGCAAAGAGCTTGAGGGGAAAGCGAGAGTTGAAATTGCTTCAGCCGATCGCCATACTTCAATCACTGTTAAAGACTGTATTCGACGCGATTCAGGGCAATATGTGTTAACGTTACAGAATGTTGCTGGAACACGATCATTAGCTGTCAACTGCAAAGTACTTGATAGACCTGGTCCACCAGCAGGCCCGCTAGAAATCAAAGGACTTACTGCTGAGAAATGTCACCTATCATGGGGACCACCTCAAGAAAATGGGGGTGCAGAAATTGATTACTATATCGTAGAAAAGCGTGAGACCAGTAGAATTGCATGGACTCTCTGTGAAGGAGAGCTTCCAACAACATCCTGCAAAGTGACAAAACTACTTCGAGGGAACGAATATATCTTCAGAGTCATGGGTGTCAACAAATATGGTGTTGGTGAACCGTTGGAAAGTGAGGCAGTCAAGGCTCTGGATCCTTTTACTGTTCCATCCCCACCTAAATCTTTAGAGGTTACTAGTGTGACAAAGGAGTCCATGACCCTCTGCTGGGCGAGACCCGACAGCGATGGAGGCAATGAAATTGCTGGATACGTGATTGAAAGGCGTGAGAAAAATAGTCTGCGCTGGATACGTGTAAACAAAAAGCCAGTTTATGATCTCAGAATAAAATCTTCAGGCCTTCGAGAAGGATGTGAATATGAATATCGTGTATATGCAGAAAATGCTGCAGGTCTTAGTCTTCCTAGTGAAACTTCACCTCTAATAAAAGCAGAGGATCCAGTTTTCTTGCCATCACCTCCCTCAAGGCCCAAAATTGTGGACTCTACAAGGTCAAACATAACAATTGGATGGTTGAAGCCATTATTTGACGGAGGCTCTCCTGTTACTGGGTATACAGTTGAATACAAACTAACTAGTGAAACAGACTGGTCAACGGCCATTCAAGGCTTAAGAGGCACAGAGTATACTGTCATTGGACTTACCTCAGGAGCGGAATATGTTTTCAGAGTAAGGTCCCTCAACAAAGTTGGTGCTAGCGATCCAAGTGAGGTCTCAGAACCACAAGTAGCAAAAGAAAGGGAAGAAGAACCTGCCTTTGAAATCGATAATGAAATGAGGAAAACGCTGATTGTGAAAGCTGGTGGATCATTTACAATGACTGTGCCTTTCAGAGGAAAACCTGTTCCAAATGTATTGTGGAATAAGCCAGATACTGATCTCCGGACACGAGCTAATATTGACTCTTCAGACAACTGCACCTCACTTACCATTGAAAAAGCGACAAGGAATGATTCTGGGAAATATACACTGACATTACAAAATATTGTAAACACAGCTACTTTGACATTAGTTGTCAAAGTTCTTGATTCACCAGGACCTCCTTCTAATATTATTGTAAAAGATGTAACCAAAGAATCAGCTGTCCTGTCTTGGGAAGCTCCTGAGAATGATGGAGGCGCTCCAGTGAAGAACTATTACATTGAAAAACGGGAAGCAAGCAAGAAAGCCTGGGTCACTGTCACCAACAACTGTCATCGTCTTTCCTACAAAGTCACCAGTCTACAAGAAGGCGGGATTTATTACTTCAGAGTCTCTGGAGAAAATGAATTTGGAGTCGGAGTCCCCATTGAAACTAAGGATGGAACGAAAATAACAGGTTAGTTTCATAAAACATGCTTGTTTAAATTTTCTGTCGTTTTTTTATATAATGTCCTACTGTGTTCACTGGAACATACTTACAAGTAACTGCTCACCGTCTTAATTATTCTAAATGTAATGATAGTGAAAAGTGGCAATCCAAGGAGTTTCTCTTGGAAAATACCAAAATAATTTTCTTAGCAAATAATATCATAATATATACATATAAGATAATTATATTATTTCATCAAGTAAAATGTATACTTGTGTAACGTTAAAATAAGGGACCTGTTTTATGCTCACTTTATCTACATATTCTTCTCACCTCTCAGAAAAGCCAAGTCCACCAGAAAAGCTGGGAGTAGCAAGTGTTACTTAATGTCCTACTGTGTTCACTGGAACATACTTACAAGTAACTGTTCACAGTCTTAATTATTCTAAATGTAATGATAGTGAAAAGGAGTTTCTCTTGAAAATACCAAAAGAATTTTCTTAGCAAATAATATTGTAATATATACGTACATGATAATTATATTATTTCATCAAGTAAAATGTATACTTGTGTAACATATTAAAATAAGGGACCTGTTTTATGCTCACTTTATCTACATATTCTTCTCACCTCTCAGAAAAGCCAAGTCCACCAGAAAAGCTGGGAGTAGCAAGTGTTACTAAAGACAGCGTCTCTCTTGTGTGGCTAAAGCCAGAACACGATGGTGGAAGTCGAATTGTTGGCTACCTTGTTGAAGCTCAGGAGAAAGGGCAGCAAAAATGGGTCAAATGTGCAGTAGTCAAGACAACTCATCATATTGTCCACGGTCTCAAGGAGAATACAGAATACTTCTTCAGAGTATTTGCCGAAAACCAAGCTGGCTTAAGTGACCCGAAAGAGATGCCTCTTGCTGTCACAGTTAAGGATCAACTGGGTATGTATTTCAGTGCTAAGAGTTCATATGAATTTAAGTGATTGATAATTAATTGATTGATTGTTAATTAATTTATCCTTTTCAAGCATTGTTTTTAACATATTGTAAATGTGTTTTTCAGAATCCCCAGAGGTTGACATGAAAGGTTTCCCCAACAACACAGTTTACGTACGCGCAGGTTCAAATCTCAAGGTTGAGATTCCACTTTCGGGAAAACCATTACCAAAAGTGACTTTATCCAAAGACGGTGTTCCTATCAGACCAACCATGAGGTTCAACACAGAAACGACAGCGGAAAGTGTCATAATCAACCTCAAAGAAAGTGTGGCTGCTGATGCCGGTAGATATGACATTACAGCTGCCAACTCCAGTGGAACTACTAAATCATTCATTAAAATTGTTGTCCTGGACAGACCAGGCCCTCCTGTCGGCCCCGTGGTCCTTAGTGACATCACCGAAGAAAGTGTTACCCTGAAGTGGGAGTCACCCCTTTATGATGGCGGAAGTCAAGTGACAAACTACATTGTGCTGAAAAGAGAAACAAGCACTGCTGTGTGGTCTGAAGTGTCTGCAACAGTTGCTAGAAATATAATTAAAATAATGAAGCTAACAACAGGAGAAGAATATCAGTTCCGTATCAAAGCAGAAAATCGCTTTGGCATAAGTGACCATATTGACTCAGCCTGTGTAACTATCAAGCTGCCTTACAGTAAGTAACTTCTTGTTTGCACTCTCTCTCTCTTTTTATATACGTCAGGACTCCTTATGTGAATATTTATATTACACTTCATATTTCTTTAGCAACTCCTGGACCTCCTTCCACACCATGGATTACTCATGTAACACGAGAAAGCATTACAGTTGGATGGCACGAACCTGTTTCCAATGGAGGCAGTCCAGTCATTGGCTATCATCTTGAGATGAAGGACAGGAACAGTATCTTATGGAAGAAAGCCAACAAAATGATTATACGCACAAGCCATTTCAAGGTTTCCAACATCAGTGCTGGACTTATCTATGAATTCAGGGTTTGTGCAGAAAATGCAGCTGGCATTGGAAAGCCAAGTCACCCATCTGATGCAGTTCTTGCTATTGATGCTTGTGGTATGTATTCAGTAGCAAAACATTACAGTATTACATTTAAAATAATAAAAAAAACAGAATTTAATGGGAAATGTTGCCTTCTATTGGCCAATATAGAATTGCAAATAAAATCAGTAATTTCACATTTTCTTGTTTTCACACTGCAGAGCCGCCAAGAAATCTTCGTGTCACGGATATTTCCAAGACATTTGTCAGCCTTTCTTGGATGCAGCCAGCTTTTGATGGCGGTAGCAAAATTACTGGGTATATTGTTGAAAAACGTGATCTTCCAAATGGAAGGTGGACAAAGGCTAGCTTCACCAATGTCATCGAGACTCAGTTTACGGTGTCCGGGTTGACTCAGAACTCCCAGTATGAATTCCGTGTTTTTGCTAAGAATGCTGCAGGCTCAGTTAGTAATCCATCAGATGTTTTAGGCCCCATCACCTGTGTGGACACATATGGTAAGTGTGACTGAATGTGCCTTTGGCAGCCATCTTGTATTCCTTGGGCTTCTATGGCTCCCCTTATTTCTTATTTCTGATCATAAGCTTCCAAAGAGGAGAAAAGAATTCCATCAAAAGATAGGATTGTTTGTGTGTGTTATTGCCTTTATAGGTCGAAGGTTAGATTCCATGAGAGTCCCCTATCCAAATAGATTCAGGTAGTGATTAAAAAGGAAACAGCACACTTTATTTACAAGGCTGAATTACAAAACATGCTAAACTGGTTGACAGCACTCAATCTTTTTGTCATACTTCTATTGTCTTCCACCTTTCCCTAGACTATGTATTGCAAAACAGCACACTTTATTTTCAAGGCTGAATTACGAAAACAATTACGACTGGTTGATAGCACTCAGTCTTTTTGTCATACTTCTATTCTCTTCCACCTTTCCCTAGACTATGTATTGCCATGTTTCCTCCCTCTCTCCCTCTCAAAAGCTACACAGCTTCTCCTTAGCTCCTCATTCTTTCTTTGCTCTCTCTCTCTCTCTCTCTGCTTCTCCCAAAGCCTCTAACTACTTCCCTCTGAAAACCCCATTCATAATATTCCAATGGGTATGATAGGACAGGAAGAAATGTACAACTGCATAAAAAAATACTGTACAGGACAGTGTTATTTTGTTTAAAGATTTTCTGTGCAGAAATCCCTATCTGAATTCAAGCTCCTTAGTAGGCAGTACCACACAGATTCAAATGTTCTTTGCCATTGCTATGAGGGCATAGAAAACATATTAACCGGTATTAAGACTCTTTTAAATCTTTTTTAAGCGTTGAAATGTCTTAATACATTTTTATTCCATTTATTTATTTTTCTTTAAGGTGCACCTGAAATAGATGTACCACCAGAATACACAGAAGTGGTCAAATACAAAGCTGGCACTGCCGTTAAGCTGAAACTTGGCATTTCAGGAAAGCCCATCCCTACAATTGAATGGTTCAGAAATGGTAAAGAAATACAAACCAGTGCCCAGATTTCTATTGAAAACACCACCGAATTTTCAGCCATCCTGATCAAAGATGCAACTCGTCTTAACAGTGGCAGTTATGAGTTGAAATTAAAGAACGCCATGGGTTCTGCATCTGCCACGGTTCGGGTACAAATACTTGGTATGTTCTGAAAAATATTATAGCCTTAAATATTTTAACGAGTTCCACTAGCTGTGCCCATTCTTGTATGTTAAAAATTCCATGATTTCCTTTCCCATCAACAGATAAGCCGGGACCTCCCGGCGGACCTGTACAGTTCAGAACCGTCACTGCTGAAAAGATCACCATTATGTGGGATCCGCCAGCGGACGACGGAGGTGCAAGTATAACACATTACATTGTTGAAAAACGTGAGACAAGCCGCGTGGTATGGTCTGTAGTTTCAGAAAAGCAAGAGGAATGTATTGTCACCACCACGAAAATCATAAAAGGAAATGAATACATATTCCGCATACGAGCGGTAAACAAGTTTGGTGTTGGCGAGCCTCTGGAATCAGATGCTGTCGTAGCCAAGAATGCATTTGGTAAGCTAAACAGCTAATAACGGGTACCTTCTTCAACATTTTTATAGCTAACATCTTTATTTACATTGACCTGATGTAATTTTCGTTTCAATTTTAAAAAATATACAGTTACACCTGGACAGCCTGGTGTGCCAGAAGTCACCATGATAACAAAACAATCGATGACTGTCTTCTGGAGCAGACCTACTGTGGATGGCGGTAGTGAAATAAGTGGATATTACCTTGAGAAGCGTGATAAGAAAAGTCTAAGCTGGTTCAAGATCACTAAAGAAACCATCCGTGACACCAGACAGAAAGTGACAGGACTAACTGAGAACAGTGAATACCAGTTCAGAGTTTCTGCTGTGAATGCAGCTGGACAAGGTCCCTTCTCAGAGGCCTCTGACTTCTTCAAAGCGGCAGATCC